TTTCTTTACAACATCACCATCAACATCAACTTATGGACACTGTCAGTTAATCAGTCAGTCTGTCCAACATGAATGACGACCACAATCTCCTGTCCCGTTTGTATGCACGAACGGTTTACACATGACATGAGCTCAAACACAACAACACTACACAGACCATCAATCAATCACATCACGTCACCCCCTACAGCTGCTACGACTGTACTAAACGTTTAGGGGACTTCCACACCCACCACCCGCCTCCACCACGCGCGTTGTCGACGGCCGACGTCTCCACCGATTCCTTGTCTTTCTCGCAGGGCAGGGCATGGTTGTGAACATGGATTACATGGCTAGCATCGCCATGGAAGGGAGACAAGAGAAGAGATGAGTCCAAAAGCGGCCCAACCCTGAACCAAAACCACCAAAGTTATCAAGTCCCAAGAGCCAGACAGACACTGCTGTTTCTCTACCCCACAGTCGCACACCAGGGCCGTGCACGACAACCTCTCTAACCTATCGTGATCGCTGCTATTTGATTTTCTACCACTTAAGGTCCCCACCCTTCTGTGATTCTGGGCCTTAAACCCCCAGCTTCCACGACTCAATCTCTTCCACCCAAAGACCAAGGACCCGGTTAACTTGTCTCCGATCCTCCTTCTTGCACTTCTCTCAAACACCACCGAGATCTCAGTTCGTAGCTTTCCGAAGAGACGGATTTTCTTCCTCACGGAACGTCGACCCGGCCGGCCTGATCCGATACCCATTGCATCACTGTTGAATTGACCTTCGTAACGGTTCTCAATTCACTCCCGCCAGTTCCTTCGCCCCAGCCGGGGCGCAGACCAGTCCCCAGCTTCCAGTGCGGGGAGCCACTGACTACATACGTACCCGTTGGTTCTCCATAAACTCCCCGGACGACTTCGGGTTACCTCAAATCTCAACGCTCTTGCGCTGCAGCGTTTTAACCTGCACAACAGCTGCCGCCGCCAACCGTTATAAAGATTTCATTTCGCACAGCTGGGCTTCGCAAGCTTGAACCCCCTGCTCAATCCTGTTGTTTCGCTTCATCACCGCAACCACACCGGTCCGGTAGATTTTACAGTACCGGATTATTGGCCTCGGAAGGCCCGCGTCGCAACTCTGTTTCTGGCAGAGCCATGTCCGGTCGTGCCGTTTCGAATTCTCAACATGCCCAGCAGTCCTTCGGTTCCGGTCCTCAACTCTATCGCGACGTCGCTGAATTGCACGCTGTGCCATCTCCCTCTCACGGCGCCTTAATGGATCACTCACATTTTGACGATTTCGCGTTTGCTTACCAAGGTCTTCCTGACCAACCTTCTCTCGTTTCTCTGGCCGATCACGCCCACGCCCATACCTCACAATCACCCACTGCATTTCCTCAGCACCAGGCGATGTCTGGGCTTGCACACAACGGTTTGCCATTCGGCACCCTTTCTGGAGGCAATCGGAGCCAGAGCATGGATGGTTCCGATGCTCCTCCAGATAGGACGTCTCCCGCATCCAACGCCCTCGAAGACTCGACTACTGATGAGTTTGGATTGGCTTCCCGTAGTCGTGCAGATGCCACGGATTTGGGCGGTAAACCTAAGGAAGATAAAGCCGATGCCACACCGGCGTGGAGTGAACTGAAGACGAAAGCCGGGAAGGAAAGAAAACGCCTCCCGCTCGCGTGCATTGCATGTCGCCGAAAGAAGATCCGCTGCTCAGGCGAGAAACCTGCCTGCAAGCACTGTTTACGCTCTCGTATACCGTGTGTGTATAAGGTCACCACTCGGAAAGCGGCACCACGGACAGACTACATGGCCATGCTCGATAAGCGATTGAAGCGTATGGAAGAACGCATTATAAAGGTCATTCCCAAGTCCGATCAGGAAGTAGCTTCATCCGTGACTCGGGCCGTTGTTAAACCAGCGATACCAGGGACCGTACCTTCAAACAAGCCAACCAAAAAGCGTGGCGCTGAGGAAGCCTTTGGACCTGATCTAGAAGCGTGGGCCAAGGCGCCCTCGAAGCCCAAGATCGATGGCGATGATAGGCCCAGTAGCCTACAAGTACAGGAAGCCGAAGAGAATAAGCTGCAGCACGAAGGCACTGAGGCACTACCCTCCAAAGAAATTCAGGAGCACCTGGCAGAGGTGTTTTTCGACAACATCTATGGTCAATCTTATCATCTTCTCCACAAACCCAGCTATATGCGAAAGCTGAAGTGAGTTCTTTCAAGATTAAAACATGTGTGTATTGCTAACGGTCCACAGAAATGGTACGCTGCCCCCAGTGCTTGTCCTCACAGTGTGCGCTGTAGCTGCTCGTTTCACCTCGAGCCCGTTAGTGAATTCTTCGGGACCTGAGTTCCTACGCGGCGAAGAATGGGCGTCACATGCTCGAGATATCTGTACCAGGCGATACGAATGGCCAAATCTCACAATCTTGACCTGTCTCCTCATTTTGGGCCTTCACGAATTTGGAACTTGCCAGGGCGGCCGTAGCTGGGCCTTGGGCGGTCAAGCAATTCGCATGGCCTTCGCCCTTCAGCTGCATAAAGACCTTGAGTATGACCCCTCCGGTCGCACTGGCCCTAAAAAACAGCTTAGCTTCATTGACCGAGAAATTCGACGACGTATAATGTGGGCGTGCTTTCTCATGGACCGTTTCAATTCTTCGGGGACAGATCGGCCCATGTTCATCAGAGAGGACACGATCCAGATTCCTCTGCCGGTGAAAGAGAAGTACTTCCAATTCGATATGCCTGCTCCAACCGAGATGCTCGATGGTCAAGTTCCTCACCCAGCATCACCCAATGATGGGCAACTTGCTGATGCACGAGAGAACATGGGAGTTGCAGCATTTCTGATCCGAGCCATCGCCCTTTGGGGACGAATCATTACCTACCTTAGCCAAGGGGGAAAAGATCTGGACCCAAACCCCATGTGGGAGGACGAATCTCAATATGTAAAGCATCTCAACGATGTCGTGAATCTTGAAGCCAGTTTACCTTCGTCACTCAAGTACTCTGCTGAGAATCTCGACGTCCACAAGACAGAGAACACGGCAAGTCAATTTCTTTTCATGCATATCTGCCTGCAGCATAACATCCTTTTTGTGAGTCGAGCAGCGATGTCAGCGCGAAAGCAGCAAGGTGTTCATGATGACTTTTTCTCCGAAGCGAGTAAGAGGACTTTCAGCGCTGCGAACCAGATATCTGAGCTCCTTCGTGAAGCTGAACAATCGCGATGCTTTGTTTCGGCACCCTTTGCAGGATACTGCGCCTTTTCCTCCACAACAGTCCACATACTGGGTGTCATATCTGGAAATCCCAACATGAAGCCAACAGCCGAAGCCAATTTGACCACCAACGTCAAGTATCTTCACAAGATGAAGAAGTACTGGGGCATGTTTCACTGGATGGTGGAGAATGTGCGCACTCAGTATCGAAATGCCCTGGACGCCATGAGAGCCGGTGCAAATCTGCAAGACCGCGCTGCACAATCGTCTTTCCTTCAATACGGAGACTGGTTCAACCGGTACCCGCATGGTCTCTCTGATGCCGAATTCATGGATCCTGCCACCCATAAGCGGAAGGATTCGGGAGCAGATGGCGTTCTCGAAGCTAAGCCCGAGCTGCAATCAGTGGAAGAATACTTCTCCACGCTTCCGACACCTCAGAGTGTCGAACATAAGGATACCATTCGCGCCGTGGGACCTAAGAGGAAGCAAAGCGCCAAGAAACAAGCTGGTTTGCCGACACAGTCCGGTCAGCATCTGGAGTCCATGCAAGGGACAGACGCAGACTCGGTCTCTGGGGCTCAGGAACGTAGGTTCTCGGGTGGGCTGGGGCTGCCATCAAACAGTTACAACCCTCTCGCAGTATCGAACGCGCAAAATCCAGCTTACAGCACAGCTATGTCACCTATAAGTCCGGCCAACATGACGGCGTTCTCCCATCATGCTCACACCCCTACATTCTTCCCTCCTGAGTTGCTGGCCATGAACTTTGGACAGGGCGCCAATGGAAATATCGACCCGCTTGATCGTCAGCTTGTCTTTGGGGGATATTCTTTGGACGCCAGCACGGGGTTGGGTGGTGGTCAGGATATGATGAGCGGCCTTGACTGGGACGCTGTTGCTTCAGGAGCCCACCCCGACGGAGGCTTACAAGGCCGGCGGTCTACTGCTAAGGCGGGCATGAATGGGCAAGCAGCTGGTATGGCTGATGGAGCAGGGCTTAGCGGACCGGAAGCATCATCCGCATGGTTCATGCCATTCAACATGGAGCCTCCAGAGATGGGCCAAGATCCCGGCTTCAACATGGGTGGAATTGACCCATTTACGGGAGTGTTTGGGGGAGGGGGTAGTGGTTTGGCAACGCCGAATGCACTGGGTGGGCTACAGCAACAGGGTCCTTAGGAGGGACTGTCGGAGTGGTTAGCCTGGGTAACACCATATTCCCTGAGGTCTTCGCGGCCACCCAAGTTCACTGGGCCCCGATATTGACATGGGCAGTGTGGCCAGAAGACATTGTCAGCCAGGACTTGAACCTGAAGAACGCTAGGAGCCTTGGGTGATGTCTTATATTTTTCTTCTTTTTTTTTTTTGTTAGATGTAACTTTCCACATGGGAATTTGTGCCAGAGATAAGGCTGGATTTGGTTGGGTATTGGCGAAGAGGCATATTGAAGTTTGTACGGCGAACATTGTCGGACGTGTCCATCTTAACCTTGGGGGGGAAGGAAAATTGTGTTTTAAGTACTTGAGATACCATCATACCCGTCATGCTCATTTAGAGATGAGTTGACATTCGTTTGCCAAGAGATGAGATAATTCGCTAAGAAATCAAAATTTCTAAAACTCTTATTGAAATGTGCACCTTGCTTTTGTAATAGGATGGGCCCAACTCTTCTACTTGAAAAAACAGCCTGACGTAACTAGAAATACAATATGGAACGCCTGGTTTTTATTATGCTATCGCAGTGGTATCTTGATTGATCCTCCAACACCCTTCTATTCCTCAGCTGTGGTGGTAGAAGCATTCTTCTTGCTCTTGGATCTCTTTCGCTTCTTCTTCCTCTCACCAACATCGCCTACCACGTTATCCTCCTCACCATCTTCTTTCTTGTGCTTCCTCTTCTTATCACTCGCGGGCTCGATCACGGCGCCACCAGCGTCTTCGTCGGCAGATATCAAGCGCTCGAAGCCATATGTAGGGCCGTCGCGCTCATACTCCTTTCCAAAGATCTCACGACGCCACTGGCGTAGACGAGCCTTCTTACCGAGACGCTTCTTGTCTTTGCGCTTCTTTTCCTGGTCGCGGAAGGTGGCAAGTTTCTTGAGCCCAGCATAGTCGTTGAGGGCAGCGTCGGAGGGAGCGAGGAGAATATCGCGCGCGGTCATCCCAAAAGATTGAGGGGAGGTCTCGCGGTAGCGGAAAGGAGCATGAGATGATTGCTTGAAGATGGCATGGTCGGTAAGCTCAAGTTTGGAGTCTACAAGAGCCTCAAGCTTGGCGCGCTCTTGACGAGCTTGCTTCTGTGACTCCTTACGGGCCTTCTTGTGATCTGTCTTGCGCTTCTTTGAGGCCCGACCATCCTCGCCCTCGTCCTCGTCTTCGTCACCCTCGCCCTCACCCTCCTGGGCGTCGTCTTCGACATCACTCAGGCTAATGTTTGGCTTCTTTTCATCGTCCTCGAAATCTGGAATGATATCCTTGATGTCGATATCATCATCCCATTTTGGCTTCTTGGGATGCTTGGACTTGTTCTTTCCACCTTCTTGTTCCTCGTCCTCTGATGCTACAGCATCGTCTTGTTGAGCATAGTAATCGTCACCAAATCTCTTCTTCATCTCCTCTTCCCACTTGTCATCCTCCCATGCGTCGTCGAGGAACTTGATCCAGTCCTCATCGGTGAGATCCTTGCCCGCATTGCCAGCTGTGCGCTTGATCTTGCGCAGCTTTTCCTGGGCCTCATCAAGCTTGAGCTTCTTTAGACGAGCCTTCTCCTCACGCCTCTCCTTCTTCTCGGCCTCCTTGCGCTCACGTTCAAGTTCACGTTGACGCTTGCGGCCAGTCTTCTCCTCACGTCTGACTGACTTGGCTGCGGCAACATCACGAGCATATGATCGAAGGAATTCGTTGCTCCGCTCTGGGTCCTCGAATCGTAAGTTATAAGCCTGTTCAAACTGATCGGCGCGGTCATCGTCATCCTCTCCTTCATCCGACTCGAACGCTTTCCAGTTCGAACCATCTGGAGGGACCCAGGCACGCGCGCTCATGAAATTCGATAAGAAAGTCTCAGGGTTCTTATCGGCGTTGGCAACATCCACCTCGGTGATGGCCATGGCTGCTTTGCGCGAGGGGTGCACACCATTTGAGTCCGCCTTGTCCGCCTCCTTTCGCTTCATGAAACCGCCGTCCTCGTCGTCAGAGTTGTCATTGGCGGCAGCATGCATCTCAGCCACGATTGAATTCTTGAGAACATCTTGTTCCTGGTTGTAGGTCATGGGCACATCCTCGTCAGCATCCTCGGCACCAGTGTCACCTCGCATGTACTTTTCTCGGTGGTAATCCTTCAAGTAGACCGGCTTTTCCTTCTTTTCCTTCTCGGTTGCTGTGGCGGTGGGGTCATCGGGCTTGTAGAAGGTCACTTCCTTGTCGTAGACCTTGGGATCTTTGTTTCGAATGGCTTGGAGAGTGGCAGAGATCTGGGCGTCGAGATCTTCAGTTGCAAGAAAGCCATCTTCATCCTCCTCCTCGTCAGACGAGGACGACTCGTCATCGTCGTCATTGTCTGGCTGCTTCCCTGTATTCTTGAATTTCTCTTCTAGTCTTTGTCTCTCTTCCCGTTTCTTGTTGTGCTCGAAACGACGGGCAAAGTCCTCGTTCACCTTGAAGCCGGTAGTGGCAATAGCGGCGCCTCCATCTTCTGATTCGGAGTCGCTATCATCGAGGAGGGTGCGCTTGTTGTTTTTGGGATCCTCGGTGGACTTCCCCATAGTGTAGATAGTTCTTGAGAGCAAGCAAGGGATTAACTAAAGAAGCAATTGATCATGCGTTGAGAGAAATGAGTGTAAGAAAAAGACTGCAACAAGCGACGCTATCTTTATCAACAAGATCCAATTAGAGCTTCTATGCGCTTGTATCAACTTTTTTTTTTCTGCCGATTTGAAAAGTTGGCGGGGAGTCGGAATATGGTGAAATATTAAACCGATGGAGCATTGACATCGGCCAATGAAAGGCTCTTCTTTTCTTAGCTGCCTTGGGCGCTGGAGACGGCTGCATGTGGCTTCGTCATCAGGGAACCGAACTGACCAACCCCGGCCACTGAAAGCCTCTAGAAGAGCGCCTGGAACTGGGCCCTTGACCACTACGGCTACCTCCTTAGGTACACGCCATGCGGGTGCTTCTACAGGGCAGTACCGACTCGACTGACCTCCACTACTAAAGCTTGCGGTAACTCGACCTTTACTTACTGACGTCGCGTCTTTAACTACCTCCTCTGCCCCAGGCGACTTCCATCAAATCCATTAGCTTCCCGATAATCGTTCTGTCTTTAATAACCCCGTCTACGCTACGTGTCCACCTTTCTACGACGACATCGGTCTTCCGACTTGCCTCAACCATAAAGAAACCACTTCGTCCAACTTGACCTCATCTCCGAGCGATCCCGCAATCATGGCCGACTCTGCCAACGCCCCGAAGCCCAGCAGCAGCGTCAAGCTGGTGCTTCTTGGTGAAGCCGCCGTCGGAAAGGTGCGCTTGAACAACCACACGCTGCGAAAGCATCTACTCGTATACTAATTGAGCTGATAGTCGTCTCTCGTTTTGCGCTTCGTTAACAACGACTTCCAAGAAAACAAGGAGCCCACTATTGGTGGTATGTATCTTGGACCTCCCCAGTCCTTCTATTACGTCGCTCACAGTTGCGTCAACAGCCGCTTTCTTGACCCAAAAATGTAATCTTCCCACAAGGACAATCAAGTTTGAGATTTGGGATACCGCCGGCCAGGAGCGCTTCGCTTCACTGGCTCCAATGTACTACCGAAATGCTCAGGCCGCTCTCGTCGTTTATGATCTCACCAAACCTACATCCCTGATCAAAGCCAAGCACTGGGTCGCAGAGTTGCAGCGCCAAGCATCTCCCGGCATCGTTATCGCACTGGTTGGCAACAAGTTGGATCTTACGGGTGACTCTGGCGCTGCTGCTGATGGTGAAGATGGCGAGGAAGGTGACGATTCTGGCGACGCACGCAAGGTTCCAACAGAAGAGGCTCAGGCATACGCGGAAGAGGAAGGTTTACTATTCTTTGAGACCAGTGCCAAGAGCGGGCATAACGTCACCGAGGTTTTCACAGCCATCGCAAACGCCATACCCGAGACGTCATTGAAGAGTGCCAGAGGAGCTGGCGCATCGAATGCTGCCAGCCGGGCAGGCGAGGAGCAAAGAGTGAATCTGGGTGGTCCCAAGGATGTTGGCGCTAAGGACAGCTGTGCTTGCTAGACGTCGTCGAGTGGTTTATGGGTCAATGAGGGTGAGAGGATGAGAGGATGAGTTGGGGGTGCACACGACAATTTATTTTGTTGCACGTTATGCTACCCTTTTCCTGCTAGCCGTTTGCTTGGGATTGATACTGAGGAGAGCATGGGGGTTGACTCTGCGGTTTTTTATATTTCTTTTCCTGTTACTACCTAGCTGAGTTTTTCTTGTTGCGGCATGTATGGACAATTAGTGGTCTTGTGTATCTCTCTCTCGTAATAGCAAAACTGATGGACTGAGCATACATCACTTCCAAAAGGGTTTGGGAAAGAGTTTCTGTATCAGGAACTACTACTAAGGTGCCTGTGTACCTTTTGTATGCTCTTATGTGTGCTCTACCTAACAATATCAATCGCTAGCCAAACCCAAACAATGACTCATTAATCGGTTTTCACTTGTTCAAGTCCTCTGCAAACTCAGTAAGTTAAGTCTCTATGATTCAGGATTATTATTGTATCTGAGCGCTCTGTTAGTAGTCGTCGATTATTTCAGCTCATCTCACGTCTCAGTATGGGTTGCGATAATTACTCGACCAATCCGCAATTCAGCACTCTTTGTGATCCGGCCTCTGCCCGTTAGCCCACTAAATTCTATCCTCCTCATTGATATGTATAAGTGTTCGATACTTATTCATTTCTTACTGCTATGGTTACGTACTAGGTAGGCATGTCAATGATCTTATTTGATCACGTGATCATTATCGGATTCTGCCGCCTCTACGTGTGGGGCTTGGCGTGTGCCTGTGGGTCCACTCTTTTTTACACGATTTTGAACCTCATCAGAGCCCTTGAGCAGCCAGTTGCTGTTGGCCTTTGCGTCAGAAGCAAACAGGTCTAGCTTCTCTCTTTATACTAACCATTTTCTTTTCTTCACTGTTCTTTGACCGAGTTGAATTACTGCATAAGTATCTACCCTTACTTAGCTCACCTAGTAATTCCTTAACGTCGCGCCAATCGATCACAGTGACTGTGATAACGTTGCACCAGGACCATTGAAAAAGATCGGCCTTGCTGCATATCTGCCTGAGCAAAACCTCTTCCTCCTCTGCTCTCCTCTTGTCTTTCTCCCATCATTTCTTACAACACTGGACCTTCCCATGACGCTTCTTCTGCTATCTTAGGCTCTGTCCTTGGTTTGAGGGCTGCTTCGTCACAGATCAGCAACACTTCGCCATGGCATCAACGATCACGGAAGCTCAGGCGGAGCTGATTCGGTATGTTACACAGCCTTGAAAGACCGCGCCAACGCGCAAGCTAATGCCCCTTTTGCAGGTCACTTGCGCCAGACGATATTCCAATCAAGTTGCGATGCGCGATCTGTAGTAAGCTCGCGGTCAACGCCTACCGTCTTCCTTGTTGCGAACAGGCAATATGCGAATCATGTACGCGATTGGTCCCTACAAGCTCGCCCACTACATCCTCGTGCTAACACTGCGTCAAGGTCAATCCAATCTACCCGCGTCGTGTCCTGTTTGCGAACACTCACCCTTGTCCGCCGAGGACTGCAATCCCAACAAATCATTGAGAACCACAATCAGGGTCTTCCTGCGCACTGCGGAGAAGAAGCGCGAGGCAAGCCGACCGAAGGAAGACAAGGACTCGGAACCAGCGACGCCAGTTGAGGCGCCTAAACAGAATCTCGCTACAGCCGAAACATCTGCCATCGAGACACCCATAGAACAGATTTCGGGAGGCAACGCGCCATCCTTAGTACAGGTCCATAGCGCCGACAAAGTTAATGAAGGCGCCCCTGCTCCACGTGTAGTCCAGGTACTTGAATTTTCTGGTTCTCTTCAAAGGCCTTCCACTAACATCTTTCTTCCGAAGAAGAATATTACTCATCATGACGACACTCCTGCCGTTGAGAGTCCACGGCAAGTTGAGGCAGGTGATGCTCAGGGCGCACCTGCCGAGGGCAGCACAGAGGACGCGCCCATCGAACACTCTGACGAGCAAACTCTTGCGACACAAAATGGTGAAGGAGGAATCAACGGCGCCAGCGAAGAACACGAACAACAACAAATGGAGGCAGAAAACGACGAAGATCAAGATCAAGACCACGACCACGACCAAGAGAAGCCTGATTCCGATTCAATGAATGGCAACTTTCCGAGTGGCTCATTCTCTAACTCTGGTGGTGACTTCAACCAGATGCAGATGATGATGGTCATGCAGAACGGAATGACGCCAAACTCTTTCGGTGGCTTTCCCATGATGGGTAAGTTTACAGTGAAATCAGTCAGCGCACACGTGACGGTAAATACTGACGTGTATGTCTGCAGGTATGCCGGGCATGGGCATGGACCCAATGACGATGCAGAACATGTACATGAACGGTGGCTTTCAAGGCATGGCAATGAACGGCATGGGCGGTTTTGGAGGTGGATTTGGCCAAGGCTCCAATAATAACTGGAACGGTTCACAGTCGTGGAATTTCGACCAGAATAATTACAATCAAAATGGTCCTGGCATGGGAACTGGTGACTTTGGAGGCTTTAACTCAGGATTCCAGACAGGATACAATCAAGGTAATTATGGTCAATTCAATGACTATCGCCGCAACACTTTCGGACGTGGTCGAGGCCGTGGCCGTGGGTACTACGGAGGATATGGCCGTGGAGGTTACCAGTTCGGAGGCAACCCAAACTACCACGATCAGACCCAAGGCCAAAGCCAAGTCCCGCAGGTTGGGCCCGGTCAGAATGGTCAGAACGGTGTCGGTCAGTGTGATGGCCAGCAGCAAGTTGATGAAAGTGGCCAACCTATTCAGGGCGATAGCACTGAAGGGCCTGCTGATGCTGGGCAAGCTGATGGATTCAGTGAGGCCATAGGCAATGTGGATGCCGCTACCGGTGATGCTTCCTCTACAACACGTAATACGGGACCTGGGAACTCAGACCCTTCTCAGGGTAATGTTTCCGGTGCTGTTCGTCCAGTTGCAGCCGCTGATGTTCCTTTGAATGCGCCTACTGGGCCCAAAGCTATGAGACAGGGGCTCCCTAACACAAGTCTACATCATCTTCGAGCGCGCGGTTACCAGGTGGGAAGTGAAGTCCCTCCCTCTAGACCGATTGGAGTGAGGGATAGCCCAGCAGACCGAGGCCGGTCCCGGTCCCGGTCCAGGAGTAGTTCTCCGGCTCTAGTTCCTGCTGACGCTCGTGAAGAGGACAAGGATCGTGAGTCCCGTCATGGGCAGAGCAAAGAACAACCTCGCGATCAGGACAAACGCGACCGAGACCGAGACCATGACCAAACAGGATCAGCATCTCGAACCGTCAGCAGAAGTCGTAGTCGCAGCAGGGGACATCGAAGCTCCCGTCGGCGTAGGCGTCATCGCTCAGAGTCTGTTGAGGACGAAGGCTATGATGACGATTCGCGACGCAAGAAGCATAGAAGCCGGCGTCACTTTCACGATGATGAAGAGTCTTCACGGTCCAAGGATAAGGATAAGGATGAAAAATATACTGACCGAAACCGTTCCGCATCACCAGCTGAATCCAAAAGATCCAGCCACCGCAGCCGTCGAGATAGAGACTCGGACAAGCGGAGGGATCGAGAAAAGGACAAAGATGACGATCGCAAAAGGTCCAGCCACCGCCCCTCGCACCGGGATAGAGACTACGACCGTGACCGGCGTCGGGAAAAGGACAGAGATCGCAGTGACAAAGACCGGAAAGATAAGGATCGCAAAGATCGACATCGGGATAGGGACCGACGCGATCGCGACCGCGACAGAGAGAGGGAGAAGGACAAGGATAGGGAAAGTGGCAGGGACCGAGACAGAGAACGGGATCGCGATCGCGATCGAAGTTCGAGATATAGCAGCAGACGCGAGTCGATCGATGCTGGAGACTCGAAGCCCATCTCTGGTCCTCGCGGACATGACACGAAAGTGAAATCTAGCTCGTCGAATCGCACCGAGCACTTAGGAAAGGACCCTCACACGCTCGAGCGCGAGGCCCGAGATCGCGAGCGTCTGCTTAAAGAAGCGCAACGCATCGCAGGTATGGCGGGTTGGAAACGCAGCCGGGGCGATGACGGCGACGATGCAGGATCGCGCAAAGGCCGTCGGACGGGCTCGTCAACGTCTGCTGCTGCATCACGTCGAAGCGAAGCCATCAATGGTGGCGACGAAGAGGAGAGAATGCGAAGACTCGAGGCTGAAAGGGAGGGTGATCGATGGGGTTAGAAACTCAAACGGTCTTCCAAGAAACGTGCCTCTAAGTTGATAAGACAATGAAAGGCATGTTCTGATCATTTCTCATTCCACCTTGATCTTTACGCTTTACATACAAGATGGGAGCAACATTTACTCTCCTTTTTTTTTCTTCACTATCAGGTGTTGGCGGCTGATGCATTATGCGCAACTAAATCTTTCACGTACGAGTAGGTAAAAAAGAAAAGAAGGGGGAAAGTGCTGTGGCATTAAAATCAGAATCACTTACACGAGTTTTCATCGGGATACCAGCTTAGGTTAAACTGGGCGACGGGGAGCGGGGGGCGAGGGGCGAGGACCAAGGAGCAAGAGACTTGAAAATATGTTTGCAGGTTAGAGGTAGCAGGGTCTTGCTTGACAGTTTTGCAGGTATCGTGAATCGAATCCTGTCTTGAAATGAAAGACGCTCTTGGAGTCATTATACAAAGTCAGCTTTGAAGTGAGATCAGTACCTAGGTGATGAGTCTATCCATGAGTTATGCGGGGAATCAACCTTGTGTGTATTGTATAAAGACAAGCAAGGCAGTCGTCAATATAGCCGTCACTGAGACATAATAAGAAAAGTCTTGGGTGCGTATGGATGCCAGCACTGCCTTGAGAAGTCTTACAGTATTTATTCATCCCCTAATTCTACGTCCCTCCCTCCATTCTACCACGTAATGAAAAATCCACACTGCTTCCTATCCTCCTCACCATGCGCAGTCATCAGTTGTCGTATAAAACTCACATCAGTAAGTGTTTCGGCCATTCGGCCATATCTATATCATCCGCAGCGCCGTCTCATATGCCCCGGGAATTATACCAATGCTACTCCTAGCTCTTGAGTTTTTCTCTTATGCATTTGAAATCAACTAGTTATCCCCTGCCTATCGAGTCTTTTCTGTGTTGAACTTGTCTAGTAGATACCCTGAGTACGATATTGGAATGTGTCATAGCTGAGACGGGTCAATACGCGGTATTTGAAACTCAGAATGAGGTTTGACTTACAGTCGAGTGTAGTAACTGCCAAATGATTTGGCAACGAGATCATCGACAAAATGTTCCGCTTCCTCGGCGCTCAGGTGAAGCTGGAACCTCTGTCGAAGGGTATTCGTCACTTGAGCGATGCCAACTGCAAAGCAGGGCATCCTGGAATCATGTCCCATCATCGCTACCAGGTCAATGATGTTGTCTGCCGAGCGACGCAAAGCTTAACGCAGCATTAGCACAATTCATAACATCGTATTTCTGGTGTAACTTGCCTTGAAATGCTTGCTTGCAAAGTCTCTTGTAGTCTTCAAAATCGGGAGAAAGTGGTCCACCCAAAACATCGACATACTCATGCGTTAACTTGAACGGCGCCGCCTCAAACCCAACTGAGCCAGGCGAGTTGGAAAGCATAAAGCCAAAGTCGATATGGATAATATGGCCCTCGCTGTCCACCAAGACATTACCGTTGTGTCTGTCCTTGAGTTGGAGGACGTAAGAGATGATACTGTATGCCGCCAGTGATTTTTTGAACGCATCAACACCAGCCTGGAACTCTTTGCTATCAGGTTTGCCAAAGGCTTTGAGAAAATGGTCTCTCAGTGTCGCAATGCGGTTACGGGGGTTCTGACCAGACTCAACGGAGGCCAGCGTTAGACTTCGCTTCAGCGAGTGGAGGGACACACCACTCGTGATGGTTTCGATCAGACCCGACGACTCCCCAGTCACTAGTATTCGCATACGTTTGACCCAGACATCAGTGCCGGCATCAACCCAAATTTTATGACACACATCGATCAGCTGGCAAGCAAATGCCTCTTGTCGAAGATCAGCTCCTGTCTTGACGATGACACTGACGAGATCCCAATTCTTCATCCAACCATAAGGCGATGATTTGCGAATTCGTTCCTTCTTAGCTTCCCAGGCTTCACCAAAGACGGCCGCACTAGGGTCATCACGATCTCCACGCCGTTGGACACCACCAGTCTTGATATCGTTCTCCATACGCTCACGCCCTGCACTAGCGTTCAGGTTCGGGTCGATCTGCACGTCTTCCTCCAGGTCAGGGTTGTGTACAGGGATCGGCGTTGTGCTAGCTTTGGCCATGATTGTGTCGAAGGTTGGGCCTTGCTCGTCAACATCGAAGCTCTTCTCCTCAAGGCTCTGCATGCTCGCGATGATCTTAGCTCTGATAGCAGCTACTTCCTGCTTTGGACGCTTTCCGCTGGTGGCTTCCAGCTGTGCAAGCATCTGAGAAGCAGTTCGCATGTGCGTGGCTAAGGCACCGAAGTCAGGCTGGTCAGCTGGTGCACTTCGCTGAATGGGCATGGTCATTCTTCGTGAAACGGGTCCTGGGCTGTTAGATCGCGAAGTCCCTGTGCCCGATGATCGCGGCGTTGTCAAATCCAATGTCGAGGAAGATGTTGTAGCTCCGCTTGGCAGACGCTGAGCAGTATGGTTCTGCGCTGGTCTCGAAGAGACTCTAACTGGCGACTCATCTATACCCTTCAAAAGTGGCGAACTACCCAGATCGCCGGAAGCAGGTTCAAAGACACTGTCTAGAAGAGGCTCTGGCGCCTTTACAGTGGGGGAGAGGCGAGGTGAGTCAGAAAGATCGAATATACGCTTTGCGCGAGCGCTACCTCCCAGTAAGCTGTTAAGGAGTCGGTCATTTTCGGGTTGGTCAGGGTCAAAAGAGAAGTCATCTCTCAAAACCTCGACCATGATCAGATAAGGGACCTTCTCGGCACTATTGAGCACTGTTGCTTCAGCAGGGTTCACACGAACGATACGATGATGGCGGCTCTTCCCAGGCGATCCATTAACCAGAGTTGGGGGGCAAATGACGGGAATGTCAATCTCAGCAGGTAAATCCTGTGATATTAAAGCCAATTCGGCTCGCAATGCGCTCATTCGAGCGGGTTTAGGGACCAGTACTAATCGGTTCGAGATGCCTTCCAGGGCCGTCAAGAATTGTGTTTCTGACCTGAAATAATGTTGTCTCAAAAGTCTCGTCTTCTGCACTGGCGACATGTCGCTAACAGTAAGGACTACTTTTGCGTGGTGCGAATGCCGTCGGGTTGCGTTCTCGACCGGGCGTTGCGCATTGCCTGCTGAGTTTGGGGTCGTTGGTCTGGTAGTAGGTTGAGCTGATGGCAGTGGAAGAGATGACGTGCTGAGCTTCGCTTCCAGTGATCTCAGCTCAAGAGCGGATGGCCGAGTCGTCCCAGCTGGCGTCTTAGACCTTTGCGGCGGAATAATCACCGAAGGCGGTCGAGGACTGCGCGCAGGCTTGGGCGAAGAGTCTCTTGACCCTTTAGGATCTGGTGCACTAAAGGTCCGTCCATTATCTCGGGCACGCCGCGATCGCGAGTTTCCGACGGTAACTGTGCGAGCCCTCGTGGGCTTGGGGTTCTCCTTCGGTTCCTGCGTTTCATTGGTGATGGGTTGAGGTTTGCGAGCTTGGGCGACTGCGAGAGGGCCAGCCCATTGAGGGAACATGGGCAGCGCAATACTAGCAAGAACAAAACTAGAAAGTACCGTGACCGGTAAGACGTTTTCCGTGATCTTTTCATGACGAGCGGTATCAGCAAGTCCAAAGACAATGTGCTGAACCTTGTTGTAGACACGGCGACATGTCTGAAACGAGTCGGATTGCGGATTCGAGGAGAGATCGTGAAGATATGTTTGAAAGAGCCAGAAGGTCTGCGCACTCAATTGTCAGTTCTCTTTTCGCCATACCCCAGTCGATCATCGTTCCCATGACGCGGTGGCTCGCGCATTCCACCCCAAAGGGTTGTCGGTTGAATATCATCACCATCAAAACGTACCAGCAGCGCTGCTGTGACGGATTCTTCACACAAGTCCATCAAAAACTCTTCCAAAGCCATTGACTCATTATGCACGCTGATTATGAGGTGGCATAATTGCGGCAGAAAGAACTCAATATCCTCGTAGGGAAACTGGCGGAGCTTCTGGCAGAGAACATAGTGAATCCCCACGTGGTCGGCATACCGGCTGTTGCGACAGGTGGCATTAGCGATTGGCGACGTCGGAGAGGGCGGAAGAAGCGAGAATGAAGAGGCATAGCAAAAGTATACGGCGACCAGTATCGCCGGCTTCTGTAGGACGTGCAGGGGTTTGTAGGAGACTCACGAGAGGTATGAGACGGGGAGAAACGGGTTGGAGTTGAAGACGTCGGACTCGAGGAACCTCTGAAGCAAGTCCCACGACATTGGTTTTGGTTTACGCGGGGGAGCGAGCGCCTGTAAGGGACAGCTGGCGGTTCGTCATCTAGGGTCTGAGCTAAGAATGAAGGAAGAAATACAGGATATCGTGGCAGGAGAACGGGCGTGACGGAAGGGAGAGTCAATCAAGAGTCCATTCGCAATAGTGACGACGGTTTCAAGCTGGTTGATGTTCGAGGTTGACGAAACCGTCCAAGCCCAAAGTCAGTGGAGGATGATTTGTTCTTCAGAAGATTTACAGGAGTCGTTGCGGATATTAGTGGATAATGTTAGGGAGCCGGAACGGACAGCTCAGGCCTTGGCAGTGGATTGCAAGCTACCTGGGAGCTCTCACCTTCCATGGGCAGAGAAGTAGGTAATGGCGAACGATCGATAGCCCAATCAGAAAGCTCATTGAACCCCTGAGTACCTGGACCACGAGCAGGAGGTACAGGGGTTGCAATTTTTATATATTGATTTCTATTAGCACTCTGGAGAAACTTGCAAATCCTCTTGAGTAGAGCTATACCTAGATTTTGCGTTTATTGACTGATTTGTAATCCCGTGCTGTTATTTTGACTACTAGATAGTTCATTGGGCAGGCACCAAACTCGACTCCTTATAATCTTTGGATGGTCTTAGTCTCTGGGCGCGGGCTTGAACCCTTTCGAGCAATTCGGAATGTTATCCTCCTTCTCTGTATGTTCCTTTTGAGACGTCAATGACTCGTTAACCCACGCTTGAGTCTAGAGACCTCCCTTCTACCTGCTAACGTTAGGTATGTCGTTATGATGTGCTCTGTCATGAGGCTCTCTTGAGGAGGTAAGAAAACCAGGGCCTTCGATTCTACGTGATAATGAGACTAAAGTACTATAAGTAGCTATAATCTTAGGCGGGTTACTTTAAACTTTGGAGCCGTTTTTATTAATTTTGTTTTAATATGTACTGAATGTCACGGTCTCGAGTCTTCTTACCTATAGGGATCTCTGTAGCCATTATGTATGCTCAATTTCCAGCTCTTATTAAATGGTATTATATTTCAATGAGAAGTGTACTTACGTCAGTTCCACCTACGCCAGTGGTTGCGGTATTACACTGGACTCTAGGGTAAGCATGCCGGGAACATAATTTCCTTCATCTAGAGTTCCATTATCAGTTTCTGTTGAGTCAACAATATGGTCTGTGTGAAATTCGATATGGATTGTTCCTCTTGTTGGAGATGGTATGTTAAAAGTGATTTGAGCTCTCACGGCGAAAGCCATCCAGCGTCGTCAACTTTGATCATAGGACATGTAAACCACATAGAGATACAATTCAACAGCGGGCAAGTGTTGACATGGTTGAGATCCAAGACCAGTTGACACAGTTGTAACTCTGACGCTAAATGGAAGGATATCGGCAAAGAAACAAAGTCCTAGAGAGATAGACACTAAAATCACAATATGCCAAACTTCACCCCTAATTGCAGCCTATACATCGGGAACGTAAGGGTAAGATCGTGAACAAAGTTGAGCTTAGAGACAGGAAGCAAGAGTCAAACCACACAGGGAATTCATAATTTAGTAGCCAGTAAGTGACAAGGTGACAGCTTTAGCCGTTATCCCTCTGTTTAAATTGCCGTGTAATCATGCTAACGTACTCGCCGAGATGCTTTGCAGCAACAGCAATTGATATTGCACCAGTTCGCAAGCGCGCCAGTGCGCGCAAGCGTTTAAAATACCCAGTATGCCAAAAGTCCATGCGATGAATTGTCTTCAATGCGCCAAACTCCGGCTCGATGCGAGTCCCCCTTAACGCCTGCCATTTGATCATTATCCCTCATGACGCATCCCAAACCTTGCCAAGACAACATATAATACTCCATATTGAAAGCAGATCACTGAGCCTTCTTTCTTCTGCCGCCACGTGTTCTCTTCTTGGGCTCTTCAATCTCCTCATCACTTGAGCTCTCCTGCTTGGCCTTTGATCTACTACCCTCCTTCTCGTTCTCGACGCGACTGACAATGTCACGAAGGAAATCCCACTGCTCATCGGCCTCGACTACATGTTTGAGCATTGGTGCTGTGACTCTCTTAGAACCCTTCTCCTTGGCCACGTCGGCGCTCTTCGTAACGAGTTGGATCATAAAAAGTTCAAGAGCCTTGCCCACAGCGATCGGGGTCTGCTGTGCAACCTTTCCAACCTCCTCATCAGCCTGCATAATTCGTTTGATCCTGGCAGTTGGAAACTTGGTTCGAACGGGGGATGGGTCGATAGCGGGCGCCGCAGGCGGCGCGGCTTTGCGCGGAGGCATATCTGTATCAAAAGGTATAGCACCGAATGTCGAAGCGAGCTCTGTTGCGCCAGTTCCCACTAGTGGTGCGTAGGATGTGTCGTACGCAGCCGCGTTGGAAAGCGGAGTTTGCTCTGGATAGGCTTGGCCGTACGGCGCAGGTCGCGCCGGAGTGTGGTGTAGTGACCGTGTGTGTGAAGAGGCAAAAGTATCCTCGAATCCGTTACCAGAAGAGGGGCGTTTGTCTGGTGAAGAATGGACGTAGGGGTCTTGGATTGAAGAATGTCGCGACCGGTAAGATTGATATTCTGGTCTTGTAGATTTTAGTTGTGATGATGCTTGCTGGTAGTCGACTTGTGGCCGGTACTTAGAATCATATATACCGCCGTTATTGTTAAAATTTAAGGATGGTGGAACATAAGAAGAAAAAGAAGTAGATCTGGTGTAGGTTGGGGACTCTGCTTTATATTCGTAGCCCGGGCTAAAGTGACTGTCAGGCTGTGGATGATGGAGCTCGTCCTGAGTGGGGCCACTTGAATAAAAAGAAGAGAGGTCCGGAGACTTTGGGGCATAGCTGTCGTCAGTCGACATAATAAATAATTTTTTCTGGTCCGCGGTGTTTGTAGCGGAATGATTAGGATTAGGTATGGTGGGGGCTTGCACGCCGAAGCGGCCGGGATAATATTGTTTTTGTCCAGCAGCGAACGAATAGAGACCCGTTGCAATGCAAACCCGAGCTGGTCCTCTTTGATAGGTAGTGTTGTGGATAACGTAGATGCTTGGCAGTACAGTCGAATGAAACAACGGGAGTGATTCGAGAATAGGTAGGTAGTCAATACCAAGAATAAGAGGACGTCAGAACAAGTTTAGTACAGCGCCTCTGATGAACGTTTGTAGCAGAAGCTACTTTGTTTGACCAAGGACAATCAAAACCAAGTTGTGGATATCGAGGATGGATAAAAGTGGCTTTGTTTGTCGAGTTGTTTCTTTGTGCAAGTTGCTGTGCTTGTGGTTGGTTGGTCAGTTAAAAGGTATTTGTATAAGGTATCCAAGAATAGCAGGTAGTAGTATGATAAATGTAGGTAGGCAATATGGTGTCTAAGGAGAAACAAAGCGATCAAACTGAAGGAACGTCGCGTTCTTATTATATCAGACAAATCCAATGAACAAGACGGACCTGCTCACACTTGTCGGGTGCCAATAGGAACCGTGCGCAAAGTGAACAGGGGGAGTAAGAAGAAGAGGTTTAGCTCACGAATCAGCAAGCTCGAGCTCCCGTCTCGGACTGGGTTGGGAATGACGATGTGATTGACGTGATGGTGGACTACAAGGTTGCCACATATAGGCTGGTAGGATAAGGGCGATGAACTTGGTAGACAAGTATGGAGTGAAAGAAGACAAACAGCTAATCTACATACCTTTTTAAGAACTAACTGTTAACCTATAAGTGGAAGCGGTTGGTTGCAGTGCAGTGAGAGAGAGGGGCGGCGGGTTGCCAGGGGCTGTGTGTAAGACCCCTTGTTATTGAGATGGCCACCCGACAAAATCCCCTGTTGGATGGAGGTTGTACAAAACGCGGGTGAAATGAGGCTCGGGAAGTAATAGTGCGCGTGTCAAACGACAAGGCAGAAAGTGTTGAGTCTCAGGTAAGTAAGTTCACGCCGGTTAGTGATTGAGCTGATGATTACCACTGAGGTAGACTGAACACCTCAGTGGACAAAGGCTGAGATCTGAAAGGAGGTGATGTGGAAATGGCGGCTCCGTTGGTAGATTATCGATTATCTTGTTTGAACCGACAATTCTTTTTTTTGGTTGACAGAGAGTTTCAAGATGAGGATGGTGTAAGTAAGTCTTTGATGAGTGCAACGAATAGCGGAGTAAGCGTAGGATCCCGGGAACGGAAAACAAGTAAAGCTTCTCAAGAATGTGGTCATGAATCGCTTTCGCAACGTTGATCAGGGGCGTTATTTGAACGTCAGCGTCAGAAGTTAGTTGGCAATCGTCTTCGACACAGCGGCGGCAAAATGGCGATGGCGGGGGAAACGAGGGAATGCCGGGCGTTTATATGCACAAATGGACGCAGCCTGCCCTGAACGCGGGGACTTGCTCTCTGCCTGGGTACAAAGTGACTTCCACCCAAACCCCAAATCAGAGACGACGGCGTCTCAAGCTGATCCCTCAGATCGATAGGAACCATCCAGGGGGATCCTTCCCACGCCATGCACCCACTACGTAGGTAGGTACTTTAAAAGTTTCAGGGCAGGAACGAGCTGGATATGCAGATATGGTACGTGCTTACCACGTGCGCCCCACACCGTAATTCAGTATCATTTACACTTTACGCGTTTCTCAACGATACCTACTGCTACACGCTTCGTCTATAATACCTATTATTCGCTCTTCCTTTCTCTAATCGACTTGCCCATATCTCGAAGCTCGCGATGCAATGTTGGTTCTCTGACTGTGGGCTACCTTAGTAGCTATCCTCCTCAGCAGAGACACATCACAGGCATTTCGTGTTCAGCCTCAAACATAACATAAACATGGCTGACGCTATCTGCTTTACAAGTTATGCCTAATATCAGCCGCATGTTCCACCTGCGCGCCTGTGGAGCCCATACCTGGGCCATTCTCCAACGAATATGCTGAAATGCAGCGCTGATTCAGATCCTAGAGTGACTGGCATGGCTAAGATGCCTTGTGGCAGCCCCAGGCGCTCACTTCAGGCTCCCATCAT